ACATGATGAATATTCCATCTACCCTTTTACTGCGTGATCAGGAACTTAGTACATCATATCGTGCCAGTTCCGTGCCATCGGACACCACCTTGGCGGCATCCCTCAGAAGTTTTCCAGGGTGGATAAAGACGTAGACCACCGGGACGAGAATCATCGGGGCGGCATCGAAAAGATAGATGAAGATTTCATGCGCAATGATGAACCCCTTGTCTCCTTGCAGGTACTCGATTCCTCGAACAAGACTGCGCACCACCATGGCCCCGGCCACGCAGTACGTAGCATGGAAGTACTTGGAACCGAAGATCGTAATTGGAGTGGTTTTGAGGCCCAAGCTTTCGCTTATTGCAAGTCGATGCGAGATGAGTGATATAAGAATGAACAAGGCGAGCGCTACAAGTTGTGCAATTAGTCCAGATATGATGAGCGTTCGACCCAAGGCGATTCCCTGCGGATCGCCTGATGCGGGAGCCGCCGAGCCGAAGACCTGAGTGACAAAGCATCCTACATCGACCAAGACGAAGAAGAATGTCATCAGGCGCGGCGGAATGTGTATACGGTCGCGAATATCAAAGACTCGGATGTATCTCGCGAGAGTCATGTACACAGTAGCTGCAATAAGGGGTGCGCAGCCGAGAATGAGGATGTTTTGCATGATAAAAGGACCCGCGACGTTGGGTTCGCTATGGGCGCGAACCCTCCCGTAGTATCCAAACGCTTCGCCTGGTGATTCATTTATCAGTGTAATGTGAGAGGTTGATTGGAATATTGAGGACTCACCGATGAGGCCGAGAGTGAGCGGGATGAAATGCCACGCCCGAAGCCATATTAACATGCCAAAATGAACCGCAGCAGCAATCGCGAACAAAACGACAAACGCCCATGCAGCACCGATGTTGGGCCGATATTCAAAGAAGACAATTTGTGTTCCGTTGACTATTGGCCCAAACGGAGGCTCTGTGCTGTTGTAAAGAACCTGAGACATTGTGAGTGGGAAGTGATAGAGGGGGGGGAGATGAACGATGACCAGAAAACAAAAGCCCAGACAAAATGCTACTGACATTTAAGCCCATATATACAGGGAAATTATATCCATATGTCGTCGCGTCCTCGAGAAGACTATGCCATCATTTTGTGGCGCTTCCGCTGCGCATCTCAAGTTTAGCGGTTGTAGAGATATCATTTTCGGAGCGAAAATTCCATGATTGGCTGTTTGGATAGTGGGACTGGCCCAGGCGAAACGAGCTTGTTGCACCACCGGCGATGGATACGAGTTCTCAGGGCCTTGTTTATTAGCCTACCCACCGAGCGGATAGCAAATTGCCAAAGATGCTGCGTGGCGTCCACAGATGATAACGGGCTCAGCCCCGTCCTACTTGATTAGGCTGATCTAGTGCCATATCCAAGTCGGGACGACTGCTAAACAATTTAAGCTTCTCGTCAGCAGAGCGGCGTATCCTTCTAAGCCGAAATATTAGGTCTAGCACCTAAAAGATACCTCTCGATATACCTACATCAAATACAATTCATATCTTTGTTGACAGGCATGGTTGCATGCCTTGAGAAAAGTGACCAACACGATGTCAAATATCACGATTCTCCAATACAAACCTACAATGTCCCTTAAGGTCTACGACTTTGTAGAAAATTCTCCTCTGGTATATTTCTTAAGCTTATCTCTAGAATAAGAAGAAAATTCAGATATATTTGAGAGCGATCTGGTAACGGGCACGGCATGGATTCACTTGCCTTACATCATGAGGGCATTGGCACTCTGAGGACAATGCTTCAGCTTGGATTGTACTATAAAATAGCTTTCGTGACTCTCAAAAGAGATACTTTAACCCTCGAAATGCCTATGGGGGTTCTTTCACTTGACGGCGAGGTTTTTCCTTTCTGGTCTCGTCCTCTTCAAACATTGAAATTATTAAAAAGCAGTAGATGGGCATAGTTAGTTTAATCTTTACACACTGGCCTTTCTTAAAAATGTTTTTGAGGGGTTAATTGATATTGACCTCAGAATCACATTTCAGTTTATTGGCTGCCCTACGGAATTTCGAATACATTCATCACAGCGAAGAGATAGAACAAACTCGTACCAGGAAAATGAGTGGGAGTAGCGATTTTGAGTGTTTCTCTGACATATCAATTAGTTTGACTTATTTTCTTTCCTCTTCCTTTTCGCTATATATAGAAAAAAAGATTTATGCAGGAATGCCTAGCGAATATTACCCTAAGGTATGATTGCCGTATGGGGGCCATTGCAACCACCGAGAATCCTTTTGAGGGCCCAGATATTATAATAGTTCATGCTATAAGCATGTTGCATCCAGTGCCATTTGCTGTCGATCTGAACCAGATATAAAGCGATTACGCAACCCCATATAGAAGCCTTCTCTTTTTCTCCTCATCCTTTTCTGTTTCTAATGTCATTTTAATGAAATGAATCATTCAAAGCCACAAAGTAAGATGTCTTCAACATCAGAGACTTCCCTGCTTGCTCCAATAGAACAAAGCGACATGCGAGATAAGAATGATCCCAGAACTTCATTCTCTATACCCAAAACTCAGACCTGGATGGCTCTGCGGGGATTTATGCTGTTCCATATGCCGGCTATAGCAGTGACCCTCGCATTGTTGGGGCTGTATATCAAGCAAGTTCAATGGGAACCATCGCATCCAACCAGTGAAGAGCTTGGTATTCTCCAGTTCGCAGCTAAAGCACACGAAGCATTGATATTCATCTCTCTTTCTGAGGCAATGTTACATCGAATTCGGCACTGCTTGACTCGAGACGAAGGTTTGCAGGTTGGGTTTTTAGCTTCACCCCATTATATTATTGCACCCTTCGGATATCTTTTCAGCCACGAGTTTTGGAATACCATCTGGAGACCAAAAACTAGGATGTCCTCTCATACGATTACGATCTGCTTATTCCTGCTACTTACTTTGGTCGGGATTGGTGCTGGCCCCTTTTCTGCCATTGCTGTCATACCTCGACAGGCGTGGTGGGCAGTTGGTAACACCACAGAGATAAGATACCAAAATCAAGCAATTAATGTTTTTACAAACGACTTTTACATTATGAATTACGAAGGAATTCCAAAGAACTCCTCCACGGGGCCTATGTTAGGGCCAACTCAACTTAATGTTTTACCTGGACTAGCCACCCCTGCCAATTTGACCAACTTGGCACTGGAGCTGGAGGACACACTTGATAGAAAGCCTTATATTCCGCAAATGTCCAACCTTTCCTACAGTAGAACAGGAAATTCCCGTGTGGGTCGACCGATCTCATTGACAACAACGGATCCTGAGTCCTCTTCCGGTCAATCATATGAAACCGCCTTCGCTACCGCCCCTATGACATTTTCGTTCCAGCCGTTATGGAATTCCAGAAAAAATATCCGACAGAAAGATAGAAATTTTCCCGGTATCTTAAAATCACAGTCGAAAAGAAGCGACAATACACCAGCCGAGAAATTTAGACAGCCACTTGTCGCAGTGCATTGCAATGAGTCTCTCGAAGACGACAAATCGCATATCCCTATTGATAGGGACGTCGTGAGATTTAGTTTCTTGGGGGGGGATTCGTTCCACAAGGAAACTTTCTCACTCGAGCTGTCTTTAGATGGAACAGAGTTGGGGTTATTCCTCTCGGCCGGGAAAATGTCTGGTCCACCTTTATTAACAATTTTCCCTGATCTTCAGGGCAAGGTTCCGGTCCCAATCACCGCTGCAGTCATTTTAAGGCAATACTTGAATATTTGGGGACACAAGTTTTGGGAGACAAATCTCTGCCTCATACAAGCCCGTTGGGTGGAAGCGGATGTTTGGCTGGACGTGAAAGAACCACATACCTTGGTGCAGCTAGAGACGTCGTTCTCAGATGTGGCAGGATTTATGTCCGAGACCTCAAATCACGAAAACGTCATTAAAATGAGCCCTGAATGGCTGGAAACCGTATATGATCTATCAGAAGACCGGAATGATATACGGCTAACTTCGATGTTTATGTCCAGGATGAATATTGCTTCATACTCCCCTTCGACCTGGATCCCCGCGTTCTTATCTGTCCTTTTGGTAGATTCCTTGACTTCTGGGGAAGACCTCATGACTTATTTAGCCCCAAATCCCACACCAGATTCCCTAGGACCGACCTTTACAGGGATCAAGGCATTTCCTCCTTCTTCTAACCTGCGGATGGTAGATGTGATATACTATCAACACCGCTATGGATACAAGTTTCAAGGAAGTGTCTCTATCCCACTCGCATTTACATTGTTATTTATGCATGCTATCATTGCTATAGTGCATACCGCTCTACTTATTTACATAAGTCCTCCGCACGGCTGGGCTTGTGGTACTTTGGGAGAGACTGTGGCACTAACGCTGAAATCTAAAACTACGGGGAAATCTTTCCATCCGTATGAAAATATTGACGACTCTCATGTGTGGAGCATGAGAGTGGTAGTGAGAGAGAGTAATACTGAACGGGGACATGAGATGGTTGCTCTTATCTAATTTATTCCCTAAAATCAAATTAGGATACACATCAAACTCCTGTAGCGGAGACAGTGATGAGTAGGAGGAGATCATTGCATGCTCATGTGTCGACATCATTGAAGCCTCTGCTGCGAGTTCGGGGCCTTCGACCTTGGAAAACTGTCGCTTATATCTCTAAGTCCAAATTAAACGCATCCCCATGAATTTAACATCTCCAACATGTTTTACTGATAGGCGCATAATTATATGTTCGGATTATCAGCTTTTTAGCAAAGATAATGAACACACATTTTTGAGTTAGTTCTTGAGTTCTGCGTCCTGGATCAAGGTGTACCTAAGTTTCCCATCTCATGGGCGAGTTCTTTACCGTGCTTCTTTCGATCATCAGTACAAGGCGTTTGCATGAGTCTATCTATCGGAAGCAAGAATTGAGCAATCCATAGCACTAGCATCATGTTGCTCTACAGGTACTATCAGAAGAGGGGGGAGGAATACCATCACACTTGTGTGCCCAAGATCCCTATGAGAATTGTGGCCGAAGTCAGCCACCAGCTAGCAACTCCAAACGCACCCTGAATATCCTGTCTCAAAACACTCCACAGAATACCAAACAGTAAGCTTGGCGGGAAGAAAGCCAATCCAAGAACCCACCATATCCTAGACCAATTCCAGCCTTGCTTGAAGTAAATTCCCCAAGCTTCGACCAGCTCCCCGTGTTCCTTCCGTAGCTCGCCACGAGTCCTTTTAGGAAGCTGCTGCAAGACAAAAGTGGAATTCTTGGAAATGCCGGCCGGATCAGTGAAGAAGTCCATCATGAGTCGTGACCCAACAGGAGGGGACAGTCTCGCGGGGACCGGGCTGCATTTATATTCTGTTCCGGTCGGGCAGACGAGCCGGGTTGGTGGGATACAGTCACATGGCCTGCCCTTTTCACACACTTCTTCATGGCATCGTGGATCGATATAACCAGGGCCCCCATATAGAAACTAGAGAAAATATGTCAGCTATCATAGAGATAAACATGGAGGGTAGACCTTTTTTGTCCGGATACCTTCATGAAGTGAACGCTTTGAATGGCCCGGAGTGAAACAATCCTTCTCCAACTTCCCCGGTATCCGCAATAATGCTCCTCTCGTAAGGATTCAAACAATGTCTGATCATTTGGAATATTTGTAATGATCTTCTGATTAAAATCTAACTTGTGGAATCCTCGTTCAATGCAAGTAAACAGGTGGAGTGATCCAGAAGGAGAGGCCGTCATTTCGATGTCCCTTTCGAATGCTCTTATAGTCTCATCGGGGCCCATGCCTTGACCACTGTGACAAGAGGCATTTGTTGGAAGTGTATTAGAGCTAATGGAGCCTGAAGTCGAGCTCTGAGTATTGTGAGTGCTGTGTGAGTTTGAAGAAGAACTGTTTGATGTAGACCCAGCGTTATTCTTTAGATAGGCACAGGTGTTCAGATACGCCTCAAGCGCCCGCAATGCTCCTGGTTCATTTTCTACATAGTCTTCAAAAAGCGTATTCCCTTTGTTCTTCTTTTTGTTAGTGATCACAGACATAGAGACTCTCTAAACTACCTAGACATGTTTGCATAACTTACATTTTTCCAACGCACGCGTTGGTATCCGTCGGCTAGTTCAGGCTCTCGGAACCCAGTGAGAACAAAGACATTTTGTACGTTGTGCAAGATTGCCATTCCCGCTCTCCAAATCATAGATTGAAGAGCCAAAAGCTTATGACTATGTTGTTTCGAAGAAGCAGCTCTGGGATCGTTCACCAGAGGCGCCTCGTCTTCATTCGCTTTGGGATTCGGATCTGCTGGGTTGCCGTCGTCCAGATTCAACCAGGACCTAAGTGCAAGTCGGAGATTTGAAAAGGCATCCGCGGACAAGATGAAATGCTCCACTTCATTTAGTAACAAATAGTCTTCAGCCTCTTCATAGACGACCTCGTAGTCCTCGTTACTCGACTCAGAGGAGGCCGCTTCAGCTCTCGAAGAGTCACCTATTCCTTTATCATACCCTTCGGTTATCTGCGGGATCAGACCTTCCACGCTTGTCAAAGACGCGTTAATCCATTCATTCACGTTCTGCTCCATGGAAACACGATCGATGGACGGTAAAGATGACCAGTCTTCTTCCCCGCTCTCTGATTGAAGACTTTGGCAAATGGCGTTTGCGAGAAGCCTGGCGCATCTACGGATGAACTGTGCAGTCAACCTCTCCTTCTCATCACCTGCCTCTCGGAGTAGCTCTTTGCCGTATATTCGAAAGAAGCCATAGAGATGCGTTCTCAGCTTTCCGACCTCAACTCGAGAAATTGCTAGTTTGTATAGTGGACTCAATTCTTTGTGGTTGAAGAGTAGTTCGGTAAGGAGAGCTACACCGCTGCGCTGTCTCTGATCAAGGATTGTGAGGGATTCTATAGATGATGCGCTGAATGAAGAGAAAAGACTTTCTAAATCAGTAGTATCGATGGAATCAGATCCACATATTGGAGTTGCATTCGATTTCGTAGAGGAGCGAGACTGGTTATTATGAAATTCGACTGAGGCCATGGCACTCGAGTCATCGTGTGCTTTATCAGTCCAAGGTGGCCTCGCTTCGCTTGAATTTGCACCCGCCTCTTCGTTATCTTTAATCTCCAGTGTTTGCTCATTCTCGCCTTCTTGTCGTATCGGATCAGATTCAGAGTGTTTGTGATGATCAGAATATGTAGTTGAGGAGTCAGAGTCTACGCTCATGGCCTCTAACCTAAAAAATGGAAGCTCCATAGCTCGGAGGAGCCGATCTTCTGCTTCACTGTCTTCGACGGCGGAATCTGACTCAAATTGCTCTCTAATCGGCATCGGCGGATCACTAAATAATAACGAGCTCCTGTAGAGTCTCTTCCGCATTTTATGATGGCCCCGATATTCATCACCGCCACTCGGCTCATCATCGTCGTCCGAGTCATCTATTTCGCTATAAGTTCGTTTGCCGATATCTGATGGCATGCTTATCCGCCTACGACGACGGAGGGCTCTCTGTTTCATCAAAAAGGCGTCCTCTCCATCTGAGTCTGAGCCTGAGTCCGAATAATTGAGGTTTCTTAGGTCGGCCACGAGCGCCTTATCTAAGTCCTTGTGAAAGGAATTGGTGCGGCTTCTAGGATACTCTATGGTATAGGGATGGACAACTTCCAGGGCGTTCCAAGAGTCATCTAGCGGGTCGACTTCCTCAACGGTGAATTCAACGGAAACGAACGATGTCTCAGCCTTGCTCTCTCGTATCTCAGGGTCGACACTATCATCACTGACGGAGGAAATGTCGCTATCCTCGATGTCTGATTCTGGTGGTGTATCGACACAGGGCTCGTTGTGGCCGCCACTATTGTCGTTTGCATGTTTGGGGTCGATATCCTCAGATATCATGATAGGAGGGTATACCATGATACCAGGAATAGGCTCCGCATGCCGGAAGCGTTGTACCGGCCCTGATTGAAGCTGTGAGACCTTGTGTCTGGGTCCATAGAAGCCTCCGCTCTTCTTGTCATCGTTTGGTTTGACTTCGACATCGGTAACTTTGGCCTCCCGGAGAGGTAAGATGAACCTAGAGTCGGAGCTCGAAGGACCCGCATCATGATGGGATTCATTTTGATGTGTCTCATGTTTTTGTTGATCGATCTTGTCATGGAAGCGCTTAGATCCGAATTGGGTCGTCTCATGAGCGGCGTCTATTGCGTATTGCCGTGTCTCCGACATGGTCAAGGCTGAAGAATGAGGTTGAACTAGAGAAGACTTGACGGCGAGCTAATGTAAGAAGTGCGCTTCGCCTCAGCGAAGCCTCCATGCTTGAGGAGGGGTAGTAAGGCAGCCAATCATTTGTGGCATAAGCTGCATGATGATTCAAGTGAATCTGATCCGATGCCTAACAAATTCGATCCTCTGAGAGGAAACGCGCAATTGAAACACATGAGCGTCTTCTGAGGGATGCCGACTGAGGCTCAGCCCTGCCATCTCAAAATCTGTGAACAAAATCTCCCTTTAGAACTACAGAATGGAAGGTCCATCCGAGCAATTTACCCTGTCAAGCCGTTGATCACCGTTGTGCAGGTAAAAATAGCTCAAAGTGCATGGGATCTGGGCTGCATTTCCAATCGCGACGGTATGAAAGCGAGCGACCAGGAGCTAATGTTGGATGCGACCGAGGCATCGCCGACAGTTGTGGTGACTTGATTAAAAATCAAACCGGCGATGGCTCACCCTGTTACGTCTTGTGGCTCCACTATGAGTCTTCCCCTCGATTCCTCGATGAGAGGAAAACCATAGAGAAATTTTCAAAAGAACACCGAGATACGCATATAAAGAGAGGCTACCTGCATTGAAGTTGAGGGATAAGACCTAGCAGCATCAAGCAACGCATACAAACCGCAACAGCCATGGCCGAACAGGTGTTCAATGTCGGAGTGATTGGATACGGGTTTGTCCTCTGAATGCTTCATCGAATGTAATGAATCCGCTAACGATTATGATAGCCTCTCGGCCAAGGTCTTCCACATCCCTTTCATCCAGCTCACTCCCCAATTCCGCCTCCACAGCGTCGTCCAACGCTCGCCAAAGGAAGGCAACTCGGCACCGGCGGACTACCCGGATCTGAAGCACTACAACGATGCAAATGCCCTCATCGCAGACCCAGAAGTGGACATCGTCGTTCTCAGCACAACCCCGGACAGCCACTTCGACCTGGCCAAGGTGGCGCTCGAAGCCGGCAAGCACGTCCTCGTCGAGAAGCCCTTCGTCCCGACGTCAGCCCAGGCCGAGGACCTAATCTCCATCGCCAAGGACAAGGGCCGTCTCATCTGCGTCTACCAGAACAGGCGCTGGGACCTCGACTTCCTCACCGCCAGGCACCTCATCAGCCAGGGCCAGCTCGGGAGGGTCGTCGAGTTCAACTCCCACTTTGACCGCTACAGGGCCGACGCCCCGACCAACTGGAAGGCTCAGGTCGGAATCCCGCAGGGCGGCAGCGCCCTCTTCGACCTGGGCACCCATCTGATCGACCAGGCCTACGTGCTCTTTGGTCTGCCCCAGGCGGTCCACGGCCGCCTGCTGAACCAGCGCAACGGCACGCCGGACTTCTTCAACCCTGACGCTGTGAACATCGAACTGACATACGCCGACGGCCTGATCGTGAACCTGCGTATCAGCGCGCTGAGCGCGGAGGTGGCGCAGCCCCGGTTCTGGGTCAGAGGCACAAAGGGCAGTTTCCGTACGACGGGCCTCGACCCTCAGGAGGACCACCTCCGAGCCGGTGGCAAGGCGACAGATGCCGGGTTCGGGGCGCAGGATCTTGAGAGTTTCAAGCTGACTGCCGTGGCGGACGATGGTAAGATCAGCGAGGTGCCGGTTCCCGCGCTGGAACCTGAGACGTACAAGGCCCTGTATGCCGCATTTGCAAAGGCTGTGACCAGTGGAGATGCGAATGAGGTCCCAGTCAAGGCGGCCGAGGCCAGGGATGTTCTTCGTATTATCGAGGGTGTGATTGAGAGTGCGAAGACGGGCAAGGATGCTATTTTGTCATGAACATGGCCGAGTGTGCATCATTTATTCAAGGAAAAGGAACAGAAGGGACATTTCCTCTGGAAGAACGTGGCTTTAATATATGACATGCGAGACGATCATCTCCATGTACGCAAATTTAATCACAATCAAGATCAACCTGATGCCGGCATTGTTCCCGCCCTGAATGAGTGTCATCTTGCACACAACCAGTAGCAGTGACCTCTTCTTATTCACGCCTAATGGTAGTAGCCACTTGATGTTGTTAGGTTTATGTTTCTTTATTTTCACTATCGTGTACATGGTCATATTCCTCGTTACTACAGAAGATAAGATGATTGCCGAGATTCAATCTCCATAAAGCCAAACTAGCCAAACCGTCGGAGACTAGAAGAATCGGTCCCATCGCCATTATTCAAAGGGTTATAGGTACGACCTTATACATTCTGGCCATTCTGCTGATACGAGACATTCACCTCAAAGGTCCTGTGTATCTGCGTCGGCGGCCGTCCATCGCTTCCCCCGCCCTCCCTAGAACCGACCAGGGCATTATTGTTCTGGCTGCTGCTCGTACTCAAATGACTACTCGCGGCCCCTCTAACATGGCTCCCGCCGCCGCTCTGATGCTTATCCAGTATGCTCTTGTCGCTCTGGTTGTCGAACCCCGTGTCGGGCTGCCCCGCCTCGGACTCGATGATGGCGGTCCACTGGCCCTGCTTCTTGGGTGTGAACATGTTCACGTTGTTGGACACGTTCTTGAGCGGGTACGAGTTGTTATTATTCCCGCTCGAGCGGACGGTGGAGGGGAACATGGCGCGCATGAGAGGGCGGAGGGTTGGGAGGCAGGCGGCGGTGATGATGAGGCCGTTCTCGGCGCCGGCCCACCAGAGGAGCTCGCCAACGTCAAAGGTCGGGTCCTTGCTCGTCGCGTTGGCGCGGAGCTTGGTGCACTTGATGATGGCCGTGGTGCCCGCGCTGGAGAGCAGTGGTTGGTCAGCACAAGGCTTGGGGGAGGGTTTGGATAAGTTTGCTTACAAGACACCAAGACTCATCGCGATTGCTACGCCGAATTTTTCCTTCTTCTTCATGTTGAGGTTCCAGAGCATGGCCCAGGGGAGGAGGGCGAGGATGAAGTCGGTCGCGGCGGAGTACGCTTGGTTATATTAGCATTCGAGTTTATTATCGAGCGAAAGGAAAGTCTGGCTCTTACCACCGATGAAGTACATGACGTTCAGGTATGTCTCGGGATGCCAGCACTCACTGATGATGGTAGTGTCCCAAGTAGATCTAGGGTCTTTGCAGCGCACAAAGACAATGATGGAGATGAGAATATGCAGCGTCGTCATGGAGATGACCAGGAACCACAGCAGAGTGTGAATCCAACGCTGGGCGGCCAGACGCATGAGAGTCAAGGAGAAGGAGACCTTGCCCATGGCGCAGGACATGACGACGAACGGCTGGGAGATCTGGCCCAGGAAAGCCACGGCGACGAGATTCTCAGGGGCTTCCATGAGAAGCCATTGTAGGTGTCGGCCGAGGCCCTTTTGAACGGCAAGCTCGACGATTGCGCCGTATGCGACGATGAGCACCTGCAGAGTTAGAGATCCAGTCAGTAAATCTATTTGATGCCTCCGTGGCTGCTGCTAATGCCCTTAAACCCCAAGGAAGGTCTCTCAGAGAGGTTTTTGCTTACCATGGCCAATACAATAAACCAATCATCAATCCCAAACACCCTGCGTAGAAAGATGCGAGTGTGCACTCTCATTATGACGATTATAGTTGAGCAAACCACAGAAACCCACACGACACCTCTGATAGATGGTCCACGGCTCTGGGAGAGAAACTCCGGAGAAGAAACCGTCGTCTCTCCTGAATCTGACATGCTGGGTGGTCGTCGTCGACGTTTCTGCAAACGGAGGTATTTGTTATTGTCATCAACGGCGTGATAAGCTCGTCCGATCCGGTCGTCCCTTTCTCTTGGAGCCCGACTAGTTATAGTTCCTCTGTTGTTGGTCGTCCTTGTCAATGGGTACTTCAGAGCCATTCAAGTCCCCAGCCTATTGTCGATTTTTCGCTTCCCATTAGGGTGAAACTCCGGGGCCAAACTACAGGCGACAGCAGCCTATAGTTCTAGATGATAACTCACACGTAGAGAGAAAAAGGAACGAAAAACTGACTACTCAGCGCAGAGCTGTCCAGAGATGGAAATACGCCTGCCGCACCAACGCCTAGAGGATCGCATTGAACGAGTGATGGTCCCGGAGCCCTCGAGATGTGATAGCTCTCGACCTTTCCAAAAAGAAAAGAAGGAGAGAAAAAGCAAAGAAAGGCAACTTCCGTCACGGCGATAAGCGAGTGAACCGGTATCATCTCCAGCCATGCAACCGTTGTACGCGCAGGGAGAGAGGAGAGAGCTCTTCGCTGGCACAGACTACGGCAGGGAGAGCTGCGGATCGCGCTTCAAGTTTATGCCAGCAAGGGTCAGGGTTTCAGCAACGCGGGTACAATGGATGTAGATCAAACTGTGAAGGCCCAGCTGAAGTCCTTGTTTTCCGTTGGTTCAACCTTGTTGCCCTGCTCTCAAATCAAACGTCTGGGGTTTGGTTTTAGTGTTTACTTGCACGGTGATCTCGCCTCGCCTAGCTAAGGGGATATCGCAACCATATACGCATTTGGAAGAATAATCGCCCTAGTAGCTTCTTGAATAATCATGGAGGGTGGTAGTTTGCCCTCGAACAAAGAAAGAAAACATTTAGGAGAAAAGAAGAAACCCAGAAGAGGTTAAATCCTCCGGAAGGGGGGCTTCTTGCATGATGTGAGTGGGTTGGCCAAAGTGTCAATGGGCCTCTTTTTTGCTTTTTATTGTCGTTTCATCACAAAGCTCGCTTGCACATGTTTTCTCCATGCCGGCCATCGATGCGGTGCCGAGTCTGGGCGGCATGATGCAGATAGATCACTTGCGTCGCATCGCATCGCACATCTTTCCCCCTTACTCTCTATCTCGTGCAGACGAGGGAGTAGCATTGCGTACATCAGAATGCAGGGCGCGCGTCCGCAATCATGCTCAAGTCACGATGGGTCGCCGTAGAGAGGGATGCAAATTGGCACGAGCATGCGGCTGGCGAACTGCATGTTGATCCGTTGGTCGAGGCGAACGGAACCAGAGCTAAGGGCGCCCATTGACTGCTGTCCAAGCCGCCTCGCATACGAGCTAAGTCATGGAGAGAAGAGCGCTAAGATGATCCGGCACCATAGTTCGAGGCGCAGTTCTCTTCAACAATTGTTGGTGCATGAGGAATCGACACATCGCTTTTCTCACTCGAATGAGGAAAGAAGTCGGATGAGGGGCCATTGGACGAGGGCTGCTACAGGGGGGGCTACAGGGGCCCGCCACGGCTACAGGCGGGGAGGCGGGAGCCAGGCCCCTGTAAAAAGGCTAACGCGCCCCTAAGGCCGTGCCCTAGCCGATTGATTAAACCCCCCAACCGCCACTGTAGCCGAGTCCAAGTGCTAGTACTGATCCGTCCACACAATAGATATAGCGCTCCATTGCGCAGATTCACTCATCCATTGATCTTCTGTTGGCCATGCAGTTGGTGGTACGAGCTGAGCTGAATGTACTGGACCGAGCTCGGTTAGGCGCCAGGCCGGTCTTGGGACCTACCCGAAGCGCCTTGGTGCGGGTAGCCGTTATATTGCACTCCGCTCTACTTCACACACAACGGAGCTGCCATAGCAGCGCGACTCGCTCCAGAGGTACATACTGCTGTTCCTCAACAAGACCATACTCTCCAATAGGCATCTAGAGGTATTTAGGCATACCCTTGGCAGCCGGAAGTCGCTGGGCGCACAGCGGAGTCGAAACGTCTGCCCCGGATCGCCGCCGCCAGCCTTCGGGTGTCGACCTCTCCCGAAGCTAGACACACAATTAAAGCGTCTCAGCAAGCCACGGCCGCTCGGGGAGGCTATGTCCTGACCCGGGCACGGCCGCCCGGAAGAAAACCGCTCATTACTCGTTGGTCCCGGCTCATGGTTGTACCTCCTCAGCAACCACAGCCTTGGAATCAGAGCAGAACTTCCAACCCACCAATACCAACGCCTTAATTACGCGATTCAGGCAGGGTTCTCATCCTCTCTGCGCATCGCACACTGTTTTCTCTCTCACCCCTGCCTCCTGGAGAGCCCTTGTGCCACTCACTTACCTTTTCCCATGCTAGTTCTTAGTTTATCCGCGTGATATACCACCTCAAAACAGGAACTATTCCCTGGTACTAACCTACAATACAACCTCCTGCATGTTATCAAAGGCTACTCTGGACACGATCGATGAACCCTTGACCTCTCCCCTGCTAAATATGTGTATCTTCTGGCCTCCTCCCCTCCATCTCATGGCACAATGAGCTAGATGAAACCATGGCTGAAGGATGGAACACCCACCTTCCTGGATCCGGGCCGACGACGACCAACGACAATGCATCATGGCGGGGCCGGTTGATGCTGTTGGAACCTCAATCGCCTTCTAATCTCGAAATAGTGTCGTATTCCCCTCTTTCTCAATGATCTGGCCAGGAATAATGCAGGCAAGTTCCGGTTCTGGACTGAGAAGATGCTCTTCGGGTGTACATATCCCACATCTGGATATAGATCTCTCTTCCCCAGCAGCTTTATCTCTGGTTTCGTAAGAGTCGCAAACCTCCCGCTGCATGTAACTCTCCCCTCTCTTTCCTTTTTCCCAGTGTCCTTTCTTCTTCCAAAGATCGTCGCCAACGGGTCGGAGAGACGCATGCAGCATTCTCGTATCCGCCCGTCTGTGAAATTGCACCCATAATGGCCCTCTCAGCCATCCCCCCAGTCTATGTGCTCTATGGCATTGTAGCCGTGGGCGCGGTCAAAGTTATCTATGAGCTCTTCTTTTCTCCTCTAAGCCACATTCCCGGCCCATTCCTCGCCAAGTTTACCGATTTGTATCGATGCGGCCTCACCCATATGGGCCATGTCGACCGTCACAAGCGCAGATGGCACCAGAAATGGGGTCCCGCAGTGCGTGTCGGCCCCAATGCGATCAGCATCAGTGACCCAGACATGATAAAGGTCATTTACACCACCAAGAACCCATGGCGCAAGGTATGTAGTTTCTGTAGAGCCTGTCGTTCATCAATATCCCTTGCCCAATGCCATATCGTGTGCGCAAACTCTCCAATGGCTGTCCCAACTCGATGCTGAAACCATCGCTGGTGTAAGCGTCTGAGCCATTGGCAAGGAACACACACTCCCCAAGAAGATGATGCCTCGAAATAAAAAGAAGAGTATCTAAGCCGAAAGCAGAGCGACATGTACCGCCCCAACGACGTCGTCGTCAACGGCCAGCGCATCCAGAACATCTTCAACACCCAGGACGCTCACTTCCACTCCAAGTACACCCGCCCCATCGGCGGCTTCTGGACCCTGAGCAAGATCCTTGACCTCGAGCCCGTCATGGACGAGACCCTCTCGGAGCTCCTCGCCAACGTCGACGGGCGCTTCGCCTCCACGGGCGACGTTTGCATGCTCGAGGACTGGATCTCCTACTACGCCTGGGACGCGGCCGCCAACGTCAGCTTCGGCCGCCACTACGGCTTCATGGACGAGGGCCGCGACGTCGGCAGCATCATCGCCGAGAGCACCGCCGGCCTGAAATACTTCGCCCCCGTCAGCCAGCTGCCCCTCCTCGACGAGCTCCTCGACAAGAATCCCGTGTGGCGCATCGGTCCCCGGCCCCTCGTCAACGGCTTCATGTACACCGTCCGCATCCTCGCCGAGTACCGGCAGCAGGGCGAAGCCCGCCGCAAGAGCGTCGACCTCTTCATCGACCGGTACAACGGCCTCAAGGCCCAGTACGACTTCGTCGACGACGCCCAGGTCACCCACTGGCTCATGCTCAACGTCCTCGCGGGGGGCGACTCCACCTCGGGCGCCATGCGCTCCGTCGCCTACCACGTCCTCAAGACACCCCGCGTCCACGCCCGCCTCGTCGCCGAGCTCGACGCCGCGGACCTCGTCCTCCCCGCGCGCTGGGCCGACATCGCGCGGCTCCCCTACTTCGACGCCGTCATGCGCGAGTCCTTCCGCATAGCACCCGCCCTGGGGCTCATGCTCGAGCGCGAGGTCCCCGAGGGGGGCATCGAGCTGCCCGACGGCCGCTTCGTCCCCGCGCGCACGAAGATGGGCATCAACCCGTGCGTCGTCACGCGCGACCGCGGGCTCTTCGGCGACGACGCCGACACATTCCGCCCGGAGCGCTGGCTGAGGGGGAAGGGCGAGGCCGAGCAGGAGTACACGCGGAGGGTGCGCCGCATGCACGAGGCGACGGATTTCATGTACGGGCACGGGACGCGGGTTTGCATGGGGAAGCACCTGGCCAAGGTGGAGATGTACAAACTCTTCGCGACGCTGTTCGCTGCGTATGATGTGAGTTTTCTTTGAACGGTGTGGTTTGGGGTTGGAGGAGGGAGAGTGCTGACCAGCAATTTGCAGATTCGGCTCACCGACCCGGACCATGAGTGGAAATACCACAACTCTTGGTTCATGTACCACAGCGACATTCCCTGCACCTTCACTCGTCGCAACAAGGCGTAGAGAGTAGGACAAGTCAGTATGGGTGGAATGGGATTTAGTAATGGGAGATGAACAGCTTAAATAGGCACTAGGAACACTGTTGGATTGGGTTTCTTGGTTTTGTAAGTCATTAGCCAGGAGTTGGAGTATACCAACCAACTCACACGGCAGATCGTCTCGGAGCGCGATATAATTATTTCAGCAATCCCACGTTTTCACTTAACTTAAACCTGTGGCATTAGCCTTCTCGCGTATCAGAGCTGCAAGGGATGTAGAGATGAAGGTAAGTAAAAGGGGGAATCAAATTTTAGTTCTTCTAAATAGTAGATGTCGCAATAAAATAAGTACCCAATATCCCATCATGCCATGCAGGTAATACCAACAGCAACATTCTTCAGAAAGCCGCCGGTATTATGTCGTTAAAGTAAAAATATCCAACACCGAATATGATCTAGAGTAAATCGAGCAACAAAAATCAACGAGGTCAGAAAAGCAAAGGCCCGCCTTAGAAAGCAACCAGGGCTGCTACAATACCAGCAACAGCAACCACCATCGAGTTTCCGACGAGCTTATAGCCCATCGAGCTCATGTCGGACATTTTGCCGAACAGTGTAGGAGAATAGTCATCGGGGGTAGACTCATCCAGGGTGCCGTTCCAGCAGTACGAGTTGAAGCACTCCTGGCACTTGGCCGGAAGAGCGGACCCTGTTCGGACGAGACTGCGGTGCAGGATGGCGCAGCCGACACAAGCAGGCCAGTTCGCATCACGGGTGGAGTTCAGCTGGGTGGCAATGGCCCAACCGTTCTCAATCATGGCATCTCGTTCAGACTCGTTGTAGCTCATCTTGAAGAAAGTGGACGTGTTGGAGTAGAAAGTGTAAGGGTAGTTAGGAATATACACAATGAGTGGTGAAACCTCACTCGTGTTCTTCTCGTTGCAACCGAAGAAAACGGGCTTCTGGTTCAGACCGAGATTAAGGAAAGTCTCCTTTCCGGGAATAGAGGGGAAGCTAGTACCAGCCGAGATAGACTCCTTCGAGCGCTCATAGGTAGCAATGGGAGAAGCACCATCGGGCCAGCTCAAGTTGGTGTCGGCGGAGTTGTCGAAGCTGAAGATTACATCGACCTGGCGCTCATTCTGGATCAGAGGGTGGTAGGGGATATTCTGGAGATCCTCGCCACCATCAACAAGAGTCAAGCGGTCCAGATCCGAGTTGTAGTTTGTTGATGGCTTCCAACCCTTGAACGGGTTGGGAGTCCAGTCAGCAATATCGTTGTTGTCCGCACCAATACTCTTGAGCATATCCGTCAGGCCCGAAATAACAAAGTCGGGAATTCCGTCAGGAACAAGATCGCTCGAGTCATCGTTGAGGTATAGGATGATCTGGTTGAACAAAGAGCTCGATGTTCCCATGACGAAACCAGCATTATCAAAACCTTTCACACACTTGCCCTTGCTGGGGATAGAGCCATTGGTGAAGTTGGATCCGACCCATTGGAGGGGCACGAAGCCAGACACTGTGTTATCTGAGGAGCCTAGTTCCCAAGGTGTAAATTCGTAAATCGTCGAGTTGATCGGGATAACCTCTTCGTTCGGCCTGCGACCAATCGCGATGAGGAACGGAAGAGGAGCTTTGGCGTTCTTGAAATCGCTATCCTCAGCGATTGAGGAGTATGTGTATCCCGGGCCACCGTCCGTGGCGTTGATGAGCTGGTACGAGAGCATGCGGCCCCAGTAGTCGGTGATGGAACGTTCGTAACCAGCCTCATCCTTCTTTGTGACGGGATTGAAGACGTCGTTGTAATAATCGAGAAGTGCGTACTGCTCAGGTCCTGCAGTAGTACGAGTTAGCTACAGATCCCCCCGCTGAGCCATTGGCCTGCCATCGAGCAAGAATCTGTCCAGACTCACCCTTGAGAATGTTATCCTGGAACTGCCAGACAACTCCCGAGTTGGCACTGGCCTCCACCGTCGTAAAGTTGTTCATGTAAATACTTCCTACCAACCAGGCACCACCAGAAAGTCCAGCAATGTAGGTCGAGGACTGCAACAAACCACCCAGGTTGCCCCTCTCCGTAGCACCAGACGAGCGGCTGTCGAGCGCCGCCAGGGCGCCAGCTCCCGATAGCATGGCACGATAGCCTCCACCGGAGAAGGCAATGCCGATATTAGGGATGGCATTGCTGTCCTTCTCGCCGTTTTGCAGATACGTTGTGTAGTCGAACTCGGGGATCGCGAGGCGGCGGAACAGGTCGCGCATCGGTGCGAGGGTCTCGTTGCGACGGGTCACCACCCAGTCCTTCTCCTGCTTCGAAATGCTTGAGCCATCTCGGATGGTAGGCTTGTCGCTGGGGCAGTCGACGGTGGTCGGGACGTATCCTGAGGGGGCCTTTTGGGTTCCGCGATCGTAGAGCTCAATGTTTGTGGGTTCGCGAACTAAATTGTTTTCAGGAGAGTGTTAGCTGAGCCGTCTTGTGGCGGTTGGAGGCGGTGGCGCTGCTGATCGATCGTACCTGCAGGAAGATTTGGAGACGGCGATGCGACAGCGCCTGTGGCAGCCAGCAGAGCGACGAGACTCCTGGAGATGGCCATGCCGGACAGCGCGTGCTCCTCTCGAGAATGGAAAAATTAAATATCGACGCGGATTACAAAAATTGAAGAAAGGGCGGGCAAAGATTGATTTATCGCGTTCGGTCCGACCGGTTAGAGTGGGCTCAGCAGATCGAAATATCAGGAACGCAGGCCAGAGGAGCAAACAAAGGCAGATCGCTCGCCAAGAAGACAAGGGAAGAAATATTACAGCAGGAGAAGAAGAATTATGGAAGAAAATTGGAGCACACAGGGACCAGAGGGAGCGAAGAATTAATATTATGGATAAGCAAACAGTCGAGAAACGAAAGATTATGGACGAGTTCCGAGCAAATTGGCTGCCAAGACTGCATCACAGGGAGCAGTCGCCGAGGCCGCGTCATTAGGTTTAATTTGCGACACAACTCTGAGAGAAGAGTGTGCCGGAGACGAGAATAGGAGCCAGACAGCTGCCACCGGTACCGTGCCAAGCACTTGGCAGATGAGCTCTCGCAGCTCAGGAGGTGTCAAGGAGAGAAGCGTCTGGGCAGGGCTCGCCATCATGCGCGCGCCAGAGTCCCGGTCAGCAGGCTGAGAGGGCAGAGCCAGGGGACTATGGGTGGGTTTTAGGCCTTAAACGCCAGTATAACACCGCCTCAAGCGAGGAGCAGTCTGTTCACGGCGCAGTAAGGTTATCTCACAATGGGGCCATCAGCCAGCGCTGCGATCAGGTCCTCATTGGGGATAGATGGCTTTGGTGGCGGCGGCGGATCGTCGGCACTGTCGCTGAACCGCCCCTCCCTAAGGCAGCCTAAAGCGGTAGCTCCAGGGACACGTCTGTTTCACAGCCAGCGGGCTCAGCGCTCTCCAGCCAACCAGCAGGCCATGCCCCTCTTTATTGTAGGGCGCTGACTTGACACCAGAAAGACGGGAAGAAGTCCCTGAATCGACACCATCCGCCAAGCCGCCCAGGCCGACATTGTGACTTCCACCCTCCGAGAAGATGGCCAGATATCACGGCCCCCACGAATCGGATAGCTTGGAAGCATTCTCTTCACCCTTCCATTCCTGATTCTTGGCTGCGCCTGTGATGTGTCGCTGCATGGACGGGCTGCCCCATGATGACAGTAATACAAGCTGCTAGCCGCTGGACCAGCAACCGTCCTGACCGCTGACAACCCCTCCTCCGCTCCACACAAGACCATCACAGCCGATGTAAGAACGGGCCAAACTGAATCCGCGGATCCGCGGTCTGCTCATAATCCGAGAGGCAGCCCGTATTCTTATTTCTCGGCTTCACTGGCAGCCAAGCCCAGCCAACGCGTATCATCCTCTTGGCAGGCCACCACGTTTCGAAAATCGACGCTGTATTTGGTGGGAGACTGCATTATTGTTATGACCTTATGTTTGATTCTGTCGCTTTCAGGTTCCTTTCAGGGTTGAGCAGCTCTCATCCTAGCAGACCCCACCATCAGTTAGCCCCCATGTGATTGCCCATAGCCCCATATGAGTCCGAGGTTATAAATTACAAAATAATCTTCCTAGTGCTGATCGCTCTGTAGGAAGAAGACAAGGCAGTAAGAAAAGCGACCTCGTTGGGTTGTAAGAAGCGCTTGTCGAATCAAAAAGTACCATGTTGAGCCCTGCACGTCGGCATAACGCAGACCAGACCTCCGGCTTCAACTGGGTTGAGCAAGGCCCAATAGCAGGTGAGATATAAGATAATGCAACGATTGTTACACGTAGTTGCTGCGCATGTACAGGTATACGGGCAAATAAGGTTACTGCAATGCCCGATATTACAAAGGAGCCCAGGACTCTAAATCTACTATATCCATGCAAGGATCTAGGTTCATTAACGACCCGTTTGCGCCCAAAGCCTGAGACGTTTGAAGTTTGCCAACTACTAAAGTATTGTCAACTTACAATAATGAGGTGGCTATACAAGGGGGTAGAAAATGACAACTACCGAGACATACATACCTAGGCTGGAATGATATGCACAGGTGTAGCTCAATGCAATGCCGGTGAGTATGGATTGTCTCAGAAGGGTCGTCCCCAAGTAATCACCGCTAGTGCAAAGAACCTGCATCCTTAACCTTTGATTGCCAGGTAGTCTCACCATGCCACATTGAACATCGTCGCGCAACCTCCTTTCGGGGAGCTTTGCCGTCGCTGGACTGAGCGTACTTGTCGGACCCTCGAACTGTCTCAAGCCGGTAAAAGCGTCACCATCGAACCGTCGAGGATGGGAAACCTCGGAAGCACCTAGCTGTCTCGCTGATGCATCAGGTGCCTACCTCAGAGTAAGGAGAAAGGTTAATGTTTGCTCATGGTTGTACAGCCTCTCCTTAGTGTCAAGTCCATGTACCCTATACCTAACACAACACAGTCATTGAATTCTCCAAACATGCTTGTATCCCTCTTTGCCCGATGTTCATGACCCATTACG